AAGCTTAGTATTTGTTGTTGTGTATTCATTGGTAAAACAAAAAAAAACAAATTGTGTTGTTCCAATTACTATTTAAATATGAAAGAATTGAAAAAAGGACAAAGTTACCCCATACTATTCACTCTTTTCATGTGTACACATATAATATATCCTCTGTTACGAGCAATACATTCGTGATTCATAATATACTTGTAGTTCATAACCGGTAAATTTCCATTGCTTACTATCCATGATTTTTCATACTATTACTATAAAAAATTCCTTAACTATTAAAAATTTGTGCTCATGCAAGACAAAAAAAAGTACTCGATGAATTTTTCCAATATTTTCAAAGTTTATAATATCGTCGACAAATATAGGTAGTCTTCAAAGATTGACGAGCTATTATGGTACTCACGAAAGTATTTGAAATCAAATGAGCTTTAGAGTGATAGAGAAAAAAGAACATTTCTAGTTACTTTTGGAACATATCTCTGAGTAAAGATGTGTAATGTTTGTGGTAACTATTATTTTGAACTCGTTAAACTATTGACACTTGAACAGAAATGAGGGAATATCAATTTGTAATTTTCACGTCTTGCCTTATTTAATAGCATTTTGCATGCAGTTTGCATTTTTATAAATAAGAGCATTGTCTGTAAACTTGATGTTCGGACCTTATTAATTTTGTTTTGTTTACATTCAATAAACAAAACTTGGTTGTATTTCACTTTTGGGATGCAAGATTTAAAAAATATAAAGAGATATATAATATAATAGTTTTCTAAACATTAAAAAACGAGAAGTAAAAACTACAACGTTGCAAAATATTGCACAACATATATGAATAATGCTTGTTTACTCCTTGATTCTCGTATCGATTTGTCTGTAACCAGGAAGAAATTATCATTTATTACTTCAAAGTGTCGTATTACCAAATTCGTGGAAAATCTATTAAATTTATAAGAAGTTTTGCTGAGGATATAACAGATAATTAGGAAATGAGCGGTTCTTCAAACCACTTACGATTTTCTCATACAGTTTGTTTCACTGATGTATATGGATTTTTTATAGTTTTTATTGAGTTACGTTTTTTTTATTTTAATAACTACTCAACTCTCATATTTTTAAATAAGTCATACACTACAGATCCATTTAGGAAATCCAAAAGACAAAGTCGAGAATTCGGAAAAGTCTGGAATTTACGAAATTAAATGTAAGGACTGCGATGCAAAATATTATGGACAAACAAAAAGATCTATCAAAATAAGATATAAGAAACACTTAGCACACCTGAAATATGGAAGACCAGAAAAATCAGCAGTCGCCCATCATATTTTGCAACGAAACCATTCCATAGACTTCAGTTCATTAAGATTAGTTAAACTAGTTAACAACAACAGGCATCTAGATGCCTATGAGAGTGTAGTAAACATAATAATATTATGAATAACGATAGTGGACCAATACCTAATACTATACTATATAGCTCGTTAAAATAATATTTCAATTATTAGATTTACTTGACTATTACATAAGGACATATTGTAGAATTAAGACTAGTAGATAAGGTGCTGGCTGTGCTGTCGCAATTTTCGGTAAATTTTGTAGATTTTGTCACATTAGGACTCTGATGGAATTGTTTCGATCGGTTGCGGTTATTATGGTTATCTAGGAATGAAGAATGTAGAATGGCGACATCAAACGCGTTCGATATTTTTACGGTATTTATTACATTCGTTCCACAGAAATAATGGAGATAATAGTATTGAATATTTTTAAAGGAAAAACCATTGCGATACCGGATTTGTCATAGAAATAAAATGAGTTGAATAAGTCAGTAAGGAACAACAATATTCACAGATTAATTTGAATAGAATTATTAATATTTTGTTGAAGTCGAGGAAAATTTGTATCGAAATTGTGACACGAAGACGAATGTGTACATAATTGAAATAGTTTTTTTTCTTCATTTTGACCATATTGTTTGTATACCTATTATTAATATTTTACTTATTGTTAACTCATTTCAGTTCATAATAATTTGTTTACTTGATAAATTAGCGTTGTTAAACTTGTACGTTTAACACTCAGTATAATTTTTTTTATATTTTCATTTCGTAACTCATCTAGTAGAAATTAACAAAATTAGGATTAATGGTGCTGTTTGTAGCAATTGAGAAGTGAAAAACAATACAAAGGATACAAAGATGAACAACAGCGAGTAAAACTAGAATTGTCATGGTCAAACACAAACAAACATCCTATTAAGACAAACAACAAAATTCCATAAATGAGAAATCTAATGCAGATGAAAATTGGGGAGGAACAATCGTTTTTTGGGGTTATGGGAGCAATAGTCAATACATGAATTTAAATTCTTATATATAAAAGAAAATAGTTACACAGTTCTGGTGCAGGTGTTTTTAGTCGCAGACCCAGGACAGAAATATCAACCTGCCTAGGAACTTTATGCGACTGTATTTCAAGCGGAAATTTATGCTATTGAATTGTGGGAGGCGAGATTAGAAGAATTCAACCTCAAACACAAGTCTATAAAAATATTCTCGGGCAGTCAAGCGGCGTTGGAAGCTCTTGGCTCCTACCGAGCAACGTCTAAATTGGTAGCAAATTGCCAAAAATGACTCTTTTCAATAGGAAGACTTAACAGATTGTCTCTGGTCTGGATTCCTGGCCATACTGACCTGGAAGGCAATGAGGCTGGGGACTCCCTTGCAAAGGAGGGTGCTGCAAGCACCTTAATCGGACCAGAACCTGCCACTGGCATCGCTTTAGGCTTTGCCAAACAAATATTGAACACCTGGATGGCAAGAAGATTTATGGACTTCTGGCAGAATCTTCCACGATTGGCTCTCTCCAAGGCGTTTATTCGCTCTTCGAAGCTTGATACCAAACAGTTGTTGGACTACAGTAGAGATGAACTACGATATCTAACAGGCCTCCTTACAGGTCACTGTCATTTGAATCATAATATGCAGAGACTCGGGACTGTCGGCAGACAGTGTGTGTCGCCTGTGTTTGGAAAATGATGCAACAGCAGAGCATACACTTTGTGCCTATCCCGTTGGGGACCAAATCAGGTTTTTAGAGTTCGGCAGAGCCGTACTCTCACCATTTGACCTAAAAGACCACTCACCATACAAATTAATCGGCTTCGTTAAGAAGCTGGGTTTATTTAGTCGACTGTGAATATGTGTGAGCCACAATAAACCCTTGCGGGTTTCGGTGGAGGGTCGAATAGACCGACTCACTTTAGACCTAACCTAACCTACATTCAATAACGGCTGGACCAATTTTCATTAATTTTCATTTCTTGGATTTATCTATACTCCGAATAGCATAATAACTAAAACTGATAGAAAAAAAAAGAACAAATTGATGATGTTCTTTTGCTAGGTTACGGCAGTTGTCCTGGTGCGCGCAAAGACAATTGTGGTTATGACATTTGTGATTGTGCGCGCATGAATAATTGTTATGTCGTAATAGAAGCAATATTTCGATTTGATCCACTTCATATAAAGAAGAAATCGCACGAGAGGATCGCCGACATTTGTCAAATTTAACGAATGGTGAAACCAATTAGGAGCTTACATGTACAAAATAACTCTAGAAAAGCAAGCATGTACGGTGATAACTGCCAAGCCACGCTTGATGTTTAAAGTTATCAAAAGTATGTTTGTGTGGATGCGTTATTTGGAAAATTTGTAATGTCTAAGTCTCCCCAGGTTCTTCGTGGACAATTATTAAAAGCAACCAGTGATCATCTACCAGCAGCAACTATCTTCCGAATACAGATTATCTGAGTGTTGACACGAGATGGGTGAAAAGTGTGAGATAAATTTTTTACATATTATACATTAATATTAATTGTTTCGACGTAAATTATACAACTAAACAAATATTGAATGATACATTACGGAATAACTGATGAGCGCGACGAATTAACAAATGCGTTTGCCACATTAAGAATATGACGTTAGTGTATATATTTTCGAGTCGAATAGAATATTTCAGAGTTCAATCATGGGGGCATGCCACTAAATAATTCGAAATCAATTTAGAGGTATATTTGAGAAGTGATGGTTCTGATGACCTTATTTGAAATTTAGGAAAAAACCCCGAGGTATTGCGTTTCGGATAATAAATGTTTTCAGTTCCAAGAAATGCAGTTTAGTTGTTTTAACGTATCTTCAAGGGAATTCATTATTTTAATGAAAGATTATTTTCCTTAATGCATAAAAGAAAGGAAACAGATAAAGGCGGAGTTGACAAAAATTACGATTAAAAAAAAATTATTGTTTTTTTAAATTTTTTAATGAATTATAGAAAACTGATTCTGTATTTTTCTAATCACTTTATCGTATTACTTTTGTAACTTTCAATTAGTTTATAGTTTCACAACAATAAACCCATTTAACTGATCAAAATAAACATAATTCGGTGCTCATATTTTACATAAATTTTAAAATTTTAATTTCCAAATTAATCTCTACATCACCGGCATACCAAGCTTAATCGATCAAAATGCGTCCAATCCCACAATTAAAAAAATATGTATCAAGCAAGCAGAATGAAGTACCTCAACCTACGTTCTTGTTATTTTAACAAAATTTCAAAAATTATGGATTTTCTCTGTCTAATAATTTGAAAAATATTTTCAAAGAGTAGATGCAAACTTTTGAGTACGACTTTATTCCGAAGCATACAGATAAACCTTACACAGATCCAAATATTGACTCGGGTGTCGATATTAACAAACCTAGAAACTTATTTAGACTCGAGTGAAGAAGCAACTGATAAGATAGATTTTCTCTAAAATTTGGAAACGGTTTGCTTTCATCTACTCACAAAGAAAATCTCAGACATTTAACAGCAGTCATTATTTTTCATTCAGATCTAATTAATTGAACTGGGATTTTTTGAGTTGTCGAAATCGACTCATTGATTAGATAAGACCCTTCAAAGACAATTCTACAGCTAATAGAAGCAATCTCGAAGTGTTTTTGATTTAGTTCCTATACTCGATCGAGACGAGAGAAAAGGTTTGATGTGGATTCGAAAAACAAACGACTAAAGAACGGTTGCACGATTTTTTAATTCCCTGTCGAGATGAAACTCAACCTTGATCATTTTCTCCCGATGTTGCCAACAGATGGTGCCATGAATTTCCACGTACAGGGCGAGCAAGGTTTTTTCGCGCAGGGCGATCCAAGCCACGCGATAGTTCAAGGCGATGATTTTTTGTCCAGTCTCGTCGAATTTCCTTTACCAGCAGATGTTTTGAATACTAACAGTAGTGGGGTTAGTAGTGCTACCATGACTACAGTGGAGGGCATTATTAATGAAAGTGTTCCAACCCTTGATAGAACATCCATTTCAAGGATAAGGCCCAATGGATTACTGGCTAAATTGGGATTGCCTTGCCAGACAAGCGATAACTATGATTATCAGCAGTGCTACAGTTATTACTCTAATGGTTGCTATAATGTTTGCCAGTTCGTCGAAAGTGGTGATATCGAAGATATTTTGTGAGTATTTTTTATCTCGTATATTAAAAGTGCCTAACTCGTACCAGAGAATAACATTCCAACATAGCGGTGGTCTGACTTTTTCCTTTTCATTATTTAATAAATGTGTACAATTTGGCTCACCCTTGGAGTAATTATCCTTAATACGGATAATTTTTTCACGCTAGGAAATCGGTTATTATATTGTATAAAAATGTATTTGTTTCAGAATAAAATTATATTTATCGCTATCTTCTATATGTTTAAATTGAAAGGGGTATATTTTTTAGGAGGATTAATTTTTGGGAAAGAAAGCTTTAGGGTTTCTACTTCTCCATCTTTATACAAAAAAATGTGTGAATCTTCCAAAGAAAGGAAGGAAACAACCAAAGAGGTAACTCTATACAAAGCTGCGTAGATCATGCAAAGAAGTAACTTTCAGACACAAACTGGAAGTCAAGTCAAAAATGTTTATTGCATGATTTTCAAGAATAATTACAAAATGTTGTGAATGTGTATTGTGTTGTGTGGGGCCCTGCTAAAGGCTTATGCCTCTTCAGGGTTAGTGGGTTGTATATGTGGTGTCTTGTGTGATGATGTCTAGTGTATTGTTGTTTTAGTGTCATGTGTTCCTTTTGTTTTTGTTTGTTCCGTTAGAGTGGTCCGGGTCAGTTGCAGTGGTCGTTGGGGTTTTTATGGTACGGGTTGTAAGGCCGGGGGTCATGGCTTCAGATTTCAGCTCCTTCCAGCACGCAGCTGTCCGCTATCTGATTCCAAGTGGGTATTCTTCTAGCTCTAGGATATCCTGGATCTGCTCCGGTGGATCTTTCATTGTTCCCAGGAGTCTGGCTGGAGGAAACGGGAGCTTCTTCCTAGGAATCCTTCTGGGTCCTCCACGAGGAGTCCACGGTGTGGTCAGCGAGTTGATGGCATCGGTGTTGCTACTGCTCATCGTTCTAGTCGCGTATCGTCCCTGAAGTTCCTGAAATCGTAGGTTGATTGGTGTAGTGTTTATTAGGTTATATAGGTTTTGGGATGGGGAGGTTGTGGATGTTGCGTAGGATTCTTCTCTCGGTAGTTAGATACGGTGGGATAGTTTCGGGGGAAGCGTACAGTATATCATGAAATATTTATAAGTATGTAGGAGAGTTTTACTGTCGCACCTTCCGAGCTTGCCTCTCAGTGCTTTTAGCAGGTTTGCTTTCTTCCGGACTCTGTCCAGAGTTTCTCTCAGGTCGACCTTCCAGTTGGGTCCTCGTGAAAGTGACCCCCAAGTAGGACATCGAGTCCTGGAGTATGAGGTTTTCTCCTAAGAGTCTGAGGTGCAAGTTATCGGAATTAAGTTTAGGGCGGGTAGTGATGTGAGGATGTCGGAATAAGATGGTTTGAGTTTTGGTGGGATTAATTTCGATACGCCACTTGTTGCACCACTGTTCGAAGTGGTCGATCATGTTTTGTGCCACCAGAGGAAAAGTCCTCTCGAAATAGCTACTTTCATATAAACCTTGAATTACACGAATATAAAATTATTTCGAAACAAAGCGTTGAGCGCTTTGAATAAAAAATTCAAAGCGTTTCATAATATTCTAAATCACTACAAAATACCCATTTAATTTCCCATGAAATTTGTTTTACTGTCGAGCAGTTTATATCTATTATTCACTTACTGAGCATGAAATGAAATGTTAAACGCTGACAAATCCACTCGTGGCAGATAATTTATGGATGCGCAGTAGTCTATAAACATATTATAAATTTTCTTTATAGAAGCTCTAACGATATTTTGCACCAAATGTCATCTAGAATGAAACTGAAACATTACGACACACCTTTTATAGTCAAAATTATCATATTGTGATTGTATTTATGGCTCTGAATTGATACAAGGTGCCGCATGGTGTCATAAAAAATACAGAATAACTATTCGAAAATTCTACATTTCAGAAAAAATCAGAAAACCGGGCTGGTTGAAAGTTGATAAAATTGGTTTCCTTCATCTTCTGTGGCAACTCATGAGATTTTGCCGAAAAAGAAACCAGAATGTCCACCTTTTAACGTGTGAATCCCGTGTTAGGAATCACACGTTAAAAGGTAAGACCTCGTTAATCCTTAGCTCGCACAAGTTTCGACAAGTTCGTAGGGGTACGACAGCTGGTTAATGGAAAAACAGATTTTAAACAGATTTTTTTTATTCCACCATATCCACCATGTATAGGAATATTCAATACAAATGAAAGGAAACAACACTTAAATAATATTGTGCTTATTGTTTTCTACTATTATTTTTTCTATCTTCTCGGCTCGAAATTTCCCGATATTTCCTGGCCGAAAAAAACATCGTAAAGTTGGGAATTTTGTAAAATTGTCACTTCAAAATTTGTGGACTGTTCAGGACTGTTCTCTTACTTGGGAGAAATTGAACTTTTTTGAAGTTTTCAAACAACTCAGAATTTCAAGGTATGGAATCTCCAAGTTATGCATGTTGGGAAATCCCAACCCTCTCCTGGTTCTTTTCCTTTCTTATTACCTTTCCCTTTCTTTTCTCTCATTTTTATTTTTTTAATTTTCATTCATTTTTTTACTATTATTTTTTTCTATCTTCACGGCCCAAAATTTCCCAACTTTTTCCCGAGTCGAAAAAGCAGGGAGGGAGACTCCCCCCATCCCCCCATGGCGACGGCCCTGCTCTCTCGTAACAACTACTTTAATGTAAACATTGAATTTTTCAAAAAACATTATTTCATATTCAGTTTGTACTTCAAATATTCGTTATGGAATTAAATCAGATATCATTCACAGGATTGCTATACCATATAGTATATGCCTGCCTGCCTTATTGTCTCTTCAACACCAATCTGGATGACATTACAAAGTGAATCACTCAATTCATTCGTAAAATTAGGACTTTATGTTACGAATGAGTTGAATTTACTCACGTCATCGACGACGGTACGTAATAACACTCATTTGATTTTACCCTGGCCCCGGCAGTTTGAATTGAAAGGGTTATATTTTTAGAAGAGGTTAATTTTTGGAAAAGAAAGGTTTTGACTTTCTACTTCTCCATCTCCATATCGATTTAACTCATTCGTGACATATATTCTTAATTTTATGAATCAATTGAGTGTCGTCATATGGTCTTTCATTTTGCTGGAATTTGTCCAAGCACGAGGTTCGTTCAATCACATGTTCACGAAAATCATTTGTTTGAGGAGGAAGTCATGAATGAGATTCTCGTCGATTTTCTTTCGCTCACCAAATTGTCGTTCACTACTTGACAGTTGAAGTACCAAAAAAAGGTTTAGTGTTAGATGCCGGCAAATGTTTCAAAAACAATTGTGAGTAATGTTGTATTACCGGTGTCAATTATGTAATAATTACCTATATTTCAATCATTTTCAAATCGTCCACATTGATATTCTGTGATAAATAATATACTCGTATGTACTCTTATCTAGTCACATAGTTGCACAATATTGTGTTATTATAATTGTTAAGTGTTGTTTGCCCTTACCACTGATTTGTTCTGCTTACTCATGCAATTGATCCCAGGTTTGTGTTTAATAAAACCTACAAACAAATAAAACAGAGCACAGAGTCAGATGCTATAAATGCAATACGCATATATACAGACGGCACAAAAACCAAAGAAGGATCACGATGTGGAGTGTACTCCAGATCACTAAGCCTAAGGATTAAGTGGGGAACGGGAAAAGATACCAGCGTGGTTCTAACAGAACTGGCTGGTATTTCAATCGCCACAAAAGAAGTAACCAGTAAAGGATTTTCTGGCAAAAAATAACAATCTGCACTGATAGTAGACAAGCCCTAATAGACTTGAACAGACAATGTGTTACCTCAGGCCTAGTACTAAAGTGCCACCAAGATTTAGCCAAAGCCTCGGTAGATGATAATAACATTATCCTGAGGTGGGTTGAAGGACACGGCAGGAGTAAAGGTAATCGCATTGCCGACTCTTTAGCTCTTTAGGAAGCGGCTAGACTAAGAATTTTAGGACCCAGTGACACCTACGGCCTGATGACTTCGACACACCCATGCTCAATCTCTAAAGAGATGGGATGGAATTAAAGGATGCAATCTTGCCAAGATCACCAGGAAAAATCTACGCTTAACAGTAGGATTTCTGACTGGCTACTGTCAACTAAGGAAACACCTCCATAATATGGGGCTAGTGGACACACCTTTATGCAGGATGTGTGAAGATGAAACTGTCGGGCATGTTCTATGCGAGTGTCCGGAGTTATCGTCAATAAGATAGTGTGTGTTCGGCAAGTCTTGGCCTACACCTGCCGATATAAATGAGATGTCTCCTAGTGACCTGTCCACTTACCTGGAAAGGACAGAATGGACGATGACCTAGGAGGACAACTCCTCTCTACAGACACAGATACTCATTTACCATTTAACAATTTTTGCTATTTTCGCTTGACAAGAGGTAAATGAATAGAGCATTCCGCATAGACGAGGTTTGTCTTATATGTAACTGTCAATGTAATTGAATTCTATAAATCTAATAATTCACAATGGCAATTATTTCATTCACACTTTCTATCTATTCACTTTCTTCGATAATGTTTGTGCTGTCAGTCTTCAGAAAAAATAAAGTCAAAAACCATATGAAATATTACCGTGAATATAGAGATTCCAGTCAAATGGTACATCTTGTTTTTAGAGGTTGATTTCTAACAGCCGTTTATAAGCATATATGTTTTGTGGGTGTGATCTTGATCTTGTGGTTTGACATCTCACCTGTAATAGGCAATTTCACATAGTATAGTATATCTAGTATATCATGTGTTAGGAATCACACGCTAAAAGGTAAAACCTCGTTAGTCCTTAGCTCGCACAAGTACCTCAATTTCTGAGAGTTGTCGTTCGTATGGGGGCGACAGCTGATTAACGGAACAGATATCTAAAAATTTCATTCTAACAAGATTCCTGTGGCTGGGATTAAATCAAATAAGCGTTATTACGTAGTTTTATTGTGACATGAGTAGGTTTACCTCATCCGTGGCATATAGTCGTATTATGAATTGAGTGTTTCATCTTGTAATGTTTTTTTACGGACAAAACACAAGCACTACAGAAAAAGCCTTAAGGTGCTCTCAGAGAGGCACCTGGGCGAAAATAGCGATTCACATTGGATTTGAATTGCTGTAGATTAAATCCATTTGGAAAAACGTTCTCAGGGAGTTTATTCCACATAAACGCAGTTCTCCAGATAAAAGAGTTCTTAAACAGTGAAGTTCGAGGTGTACTGAGATGAATAGCCACGGTCCGTCGCGTATTTCTGATATGCACCGCTTTTGGTGGAATCAAATGTGCCAAATCACTTGAACACTTCCCGAGAAAGTATCTATAGAAGAGAGACAAATCTCCAGCCTTTGTCCAATGTTCCAGGCTACCAAGGTTGCAGGCAGATGGCTCTTTTCTGGGTGGAATTCAACAACTTCAGAGTATGTTTGGGGGCAGAGCTCCATACATGAGAACAATACTCCAAAGACTTCTAATCTGAGCTTTACAAAGCATCAAAAGTTAATGAGGTGTGTACGATTTTCTGTTTCGGAACAGTGTTCCAAGCTTTTGAGAAACAGCCTTTGCAATTTCAGCCACATGATTGTGCCAAGACATATTGGTGCCCATTTTAACCTCCCAACAAACTTATCGAAGCAGAAAGCGGAATTGTCTGACCTGACATTATTATATCCGGTTCGGAGACATTTATCTTCTTGGAGAAAACCGATGCCTGAGTTTTTTTGGCTTTGAATTGAACCTGTTTACTTTCACTCCAATTCAAAATCACTTCTAGGTCCTGATTAAGATATGCAACCCCCTGCTGTCCGTGAAGATGTGCCTCCATAGCCGATGTCCTGGAATCCAAATGGAATAACGAGACAAGTGTGATATCCTCAGCAAAGCAATATATTGATGGTGAAACTATTCAGGAGATATCCATTACAAATTTTGCGGTATTAACAACAATTCTGCTTTACAATTTGAATAATCAATGTAAGAATGTAGCATCTTTCCGTCCAACCCATTTCCTGGAGTCTTTTAAGTCCATTAGATACTAGTTAGGACAACAAGAGGATTGTTCTGAATTCTTGGGGTTCTTGTTGAATACTCTTCGTGAGCAAAACAATAACAGAATTAATACTCCTTGCCGCTCTGGATTGAATGATTTCGTACAGTCTATCTCGACGTGTGTTTCTAAATATTTTGCTGGAAACATCCTCACTTGTTTATTTTGTAGTAAATGTTCAAGAGGTAGCAAAAACGTATGTGAATTTCTGGAACTTCATCTAGCATTTCTCAATATGACTAATAACCAGTACGTGCAAAGCTTATTATTAAATCATCTGAAAATGTAACTTTTTAACAGGTGATGATCGACTGTATTGCCAAACATGCGCCGAACTAAATGACTGTTATAAGGAAACAAGTATATCTGAGGCACCAGTCAATCTAAATACACTGATGATCTTCAAACATGACCCAACCTCTGACGGAAGTACCAAACTCGTATATAAGTTTGAAATAGATGATCACTTCAATGTAGCAGACCACTATTATAACCTTCATGCAGTCATTGTTCACTGTGGTTTTGGCGTTGAATCTGGTCATTATTACGTCTTGGTCAAAGACGAATCGGACTGGTTTAAGTTTGACGATAGTCGTGTCACTAAGTGACACGACTCTGGAGACACCCTACATTTTGTTTTATGAGAGAGAGGACATTGGCAGATCAAGATCTTCAGATGATGTGGTGCGGCAGGTTTTTCCGGGTTTTCCTGCAGCTGAAAAAGAAAATGCGCCACTGGAATCAATATAAACGCCCCGGAGCGCCAATTAATTTTTGTTGTTGTTTTATAATTTCATGATTCGTATTTTGGAAAGTGTTGTTATATACACGTATTTAGATATTTTTAAGCAATATATAACCAGTAACAACTATGGTGACAACAATTAATCTCACGACAGATTGCAATTTTTTTCTCATTTCCATGACAGAACGAATTCAACGATTTTACATTATATTTACGCTTGTCATTAATTCTATTTCTACATACAACAATGTTTAACCATTGGTGTTCTGTGCAATATTCATTAATACAGTTTCACTAGCTTGTACTTTCAAAAAATATTGAATAATTACTGTAATTATTGAAGCCTGGTGGTAGAGTAATAGTTCCGTTATTTTTCTTCTGACATTCAATCAATATACATATTGAACAATAAAGAATTTTTTTTTCTGATATCTTACGTATGTTCATTGCTCCAGGAATCATGAGAAGCGCAAAGAAAAATCTCGAGATGCCGCTCGATCCCGTCGTTCCAGAGAAACGGAAATATTCTCTGATCTGGCGAACGCCCTTCCCCTCGCCGCCGAACAGATCTCTCCGCTGGACAAGGCTTCCATCATGAGACTGGCGATTTCTTATCTCAAGGTCAGAGATATGGTAAACTTAGGTGAGTGAGTTATTGTCACATATTATCGTTTCTGCAAACGGCAGCATAAAAAATACTAAATCCGCAATGTCAACTTGAAAAAATCTGCCTCAACTCGGTCGTGGCGAAACAAGAGAAGATCTAGGTCAAGTTCAACATTCTGTTGTGGTTGAGATTGTTTTCAAATATAACGAGAATTTCATCTTTCTGCTTCTCAGTTTTTGTTGGATCTATGCCTTTAGTATTTCTCTCCCAGATAAAGTCATTGTGACCTAATTGGGATGAAGACCATTCTGAAAAGCATATATAGGCACTGTGTGGATCAAAGTATTCAAAATAATTTAAAATACAACTAACACTTTGAAAATCATATATTTTAAATAATTTTCAAAATTTGGCTTTGAAATTTCAGTATTTAACGTAACCGTTTACCATTGACATTAATTACCCTAGAACCAACAGCTGAGCCAGCTGTTGGTGGGGTACCAAAATGTTTAGTACGGAATATAGTTTTTCATTAGGCGCTGTCCAACTTTCCATGACTCTGACGCATAAATCAGACTGAATTTGACCGATGGCATGGGATATGTTGGCTTTGAGGACCGCTGAGGTTTGTGGCTTATTCGCATACACCTGCGACTTGAGAAAACTCCAAAAAAAAGTCGAACGTGATGACCATACCTTCAAATCGCTCGTGCAGATTATCCAATGTGCCATGACCTGTGTGTCATGTAGAGCCGTTCTGTTGCAACCCGTTGTGTTGCAACCACGTGTCGTTGGTGTCCATGTCATCCAATTCAGGCCAAAAGAAGTTGGTAATTATCGACCTATAGAGCTCGCTGTCGACAGTGATGGCCTGGCCAACGTCGTTCTCAAAGAAAAATTGATCAATGAAGTCGCCAGCCATACCAAACAGTGACTTTTTCGGGATGTATTGGACGCTCTTGGATCTCATATGGATTGGTATCGTCCCAAATTCGACAACTTTGTATGCCCAGCGATGAGGCCCAGAAATGGGCGTCATTCATTAAACCATCAATTTCAATTTTGTTCCCTTCAAAGTAGTCCCCCTCAGATATAATATACTTGTGCCAACATTTTTTCCAATCCTTGAAGCATAGTCCGGTCAATTTAGACATTCGAAGCTACCTAAATTCTCATCAAGCTGAAAATCAGTAAGATGCTTCAGACAGAAATTGTAGATCATAAAATTATCTACAATAAAGTATTAATACTTTCTTCCTGCGAGCCACCGTTTTTGAGATATAACGATTCAAAAAGTTGTAAAAGTTGTAATCGTCATAATATGCACACGTTTCCACACCACCCGGTAGGCCTATTCCACGGGTCAGTTGTGATCCTGTTTAATTTGAAACTATAATAGAGAATAGAGGAATAGAAACTTGGAGAGGAAAATATAGGTATCACACAGCTATACGCATTAAACTTTATCGACGAATTTTTGTTATTTCGGCTTGCGGAAATCGTCAGATTATATATTTTTCGTTATCCTTGAATTATTTCCTTCAAAATGAAAAAAATTAGCTACGCTCGAGAATGTCGAAATGACGTCATTTTTTTACAACTTTGCTGCCCTCTCCTTTCTTTACGTCACTCTCAAATTGTCAGATTACTGGAATATACACTTTTTAGCGTGTAATTTGACACGCTCGAGAATTTCTGATGATCAATTTTTTTTACTAATCTGATCCTTCATCCCTCAGAGGCGGCCTTATATATGGAACTCATATTTGGTGGAGGTACTTAACCTGGTACAAGGTATCCCTCTGTATATAATCTGCCGCGCTTCAGTAAATCCCGAAATCCCCGCTCGGGCTCCCCTATTATGCTGTTTCATCATTTTCCAAACAGAGGCGACACACACTGCCTTCCGACAGTCCGAGTCTCTGCATATGATGATTCAAATAACCTGTAAGAAAACCTGTTGGACATCGTAGTTCATCCCTACTGAAGTTCAACAACTGTTTGGTATCAAGCTTCGAAGGGTGAATGAACGAACGCCTTGTAGTGAGCCAATCCTCCTTTGCAGGGGAGTATGCAGCCTCATTGCGTTTCAGGCCAGTATGGCCAGGAATCCAGACCAGAGAATTTGTTAAGTCCTCCCATGGAGAAGAGTCGTTTTTGACAATTTGCTATGTCAAATTGTAGCCCCCGTATTATTATTTTCTCTATTATATCTTATTGATATTCAGAGAAAACCTTTTTGCCCTTATATTTCAAAAAGTATACATTGTGAAACAACTTTTTCACGAGTGTTATTAGAGACATCCTATTTACAGTTTGAAATATTCCATAGCACACTCAAATAAAAGTTAACATTAGTGAATGAAAAGACAAAATTGTATGTAGGAATCCAACAAGTCCCTCACTATCGCAATTATCCCCTAATATGTCGCTATCTGAAAACGTAACCTATCATTGTTTAAAAAAAATCTGTTTAAAATATGTTTTTCCGTTAATCGGCTGTCCCCCCAATACGAACGACAACTCTCAGAAGTTGAGAAACTTGTGCGAGCTAAGGACTAACGAGGTCTTACCTTTAAACGTGTGATTCCTAACACGGTTGCAGAATCATCCCAGCTCCAACCAGATAAATTCTCTCGAGAAAAATACCTGATCGAGGCGGGAATCGAACCCACGGCTTTCCGATCGTGAGTTGGGCGCACTACCACCGCGGCCAATTCCAAAAGGTATCAAAAGGTGTTTGATACTTACAACATTTGAGGTGTGTTCAAAAAATAGGGGTGTCTCGTACATATGTTCACAGTTTCAGCTATTTAGTTTGTTGGTGAGAGACATAGAAGATAGAAGTGCTTTGCGTGTTCCACGAATTTCTGCTATCGAAAAAAATTGATCAAAGAATTTGCATCAAATTTTGTGTAAAAATGAGTCGATAAAATCGATATGTTGTATTGTTTTGCATATATTTAGCATTATTTTACGATAATATTGACGTCATAATGTTTACGCGAAATAGCTTTATTTTGAGGTTATTACAACTCAAATGACAAAATGTTTTGAAGAGCCACTTGTGGAGGCTTTAAAAGAGCCGGCTCCAGGATGCAGCACTGTTTCAGCTCCTCCTAAAATCATCGCTGAAAAAGGGTCAAAACAAATTGGACAAGTTACCTCTGCTGATATTTCCACCTCATTGTAGCCATAGACTCCAACCTCTGAATATTGCAGTTTACGGGCCTTTCAAAACAAGAAATTGAATAGTTATGAACGAGTGGATTGTGATTTAAGACTGATAAATAACTGATTTTCACAGAAATGAGCAATTTTAAAGTTTGATAAGATTTATATAACAGATGAATAGTTTATTAAGTGATTTTTATTTGCTGAGAGACTGTGTTTTATTTTGTAAAGAGAAACACGGCTTTTTCATAGTACATGCCCAGCTTTTTCATACACATGTTGCTTTGAAAGAGCCGATTTCCCTTGTTTCTTCAGTTACCATATTACTAATTTCTGTCATGGTATCTCATTTTATTTTGATTGGATAACCATGACTATTAAAGTAATTATTTACAAAAAGCAATTTTATTCAATAACCATCACCTTACGTTAACTTTTCTTGAGGTTTTTCAAAACTGGCTCTTTCATACACACTCTCCCATACCATATAGAGGCTAGACCAACTCTGGTGTAGCTTCAAACAAATGAGGTTCCACGATTCTGTCATTGATTTTTATTATTCACACATTTTTCTCTGAGTATATTGAGTGTGAGTATGAATAAAGATTATCCCTGCTGCAGTAAAGATTACCCCTGCTACAGTAAAGATTATCCCTGCTGTAGGGATAATCTTTACTAAATGATTCACCAAACATAATTTATTTTATGGGACTCATGCATTATGATATCTTTCCGGTTTTTTATGTAACTATACTTCGAACGGGTAGTATTTTTCTGCTTTTAGCGTAATACCGATCGTGGAGATAAGTCAATTTGACTGATAAGTTTCACTTAAGGCTGTCGTAATTTAAACTATTTTATCTAGGAATATTGTGGATTTCACAAAGTGTCTGAAAATGATATTTCCAGTGACATATTTTATACTGACTTTATTTTTATCAGATTATTATCTGTTGTGCGATTTGATATTTTTCCCTGAGTTTTTTGTACAAAAAGATATAATGTTCATCAGATATGAGGTGAGTGCCATTTCAAACATTTTATTTACACAACTTATTTCATTAATTTCATTAATAATAACTTCGCATTCTGTAAATGGAATTGATTTTTGTTCACCCTGTATTACAAAACATTCGGTCAACTCATTATATTATAAACTATTCATTGTCAAAATATACATTATCACACTACCCATTGTCGAAAATTATTTAACAGCTTGATTTATGGGGAAGTAAGATGAGAACTCAGAAGGAAAAGAAAGAACATTTTCACTGAACTGTTAAATGGAAACCTCCTCCCTATATGTATGTATTTCTGGTAATGAATGCTACGGTTCCGTTTCATCTCCCTGATGAAATATTTTTATGTAGTAATCACCCTGTATGATGCAATGAAAAAACCAAACATTCACACATGTTTAGATTTCCTCAAAAGATCATGTTCCCAAAAGTTGACAGGAGCTTGATATGATTTGTAAATGAACAGAAGACAGACCTCGGTTGACTGACATATTTACCGTTGATGGGAGTAGTTGTCGTATTTTGTATGTAAACTAGCGGCATCGAAATTTGAATGAGTTAAACAATTCCTGATTATTTGGGTGTAACAGCCGCCTCACATGAGCAGATCAAAGGAAAACAGAAATGCAGTCCGATGTAAAAATAAGGCAACATAAGTAGTCATTAATTTCAAGTTTATTAGGAATGTTACTGTTTCTTAGTACAATGTTTATGAAATTAAAACGACACTACGTTTCTATTAAAAAAAAACAAATAAGGAAGAGAAACATACACATTACACATAAAATACTGGGAAAAGCTTTTTGACTTTTTACTTCTCCGTCGGTAAACAAAAATATGGGA